GGCAGCAGGCAGCAGGCACAAACAGCTCGGGCGACAACCAGAAACAACACGGCCACGCGGTGCCACGCAGCCACGCGAGTACACGAATGCCCGTCAGCCAACCCACTGCGCCCCACCCGAACCCGGGACGGTGCGGGGGAAGGGGTCACGGCGGCGGAGCGAGCGGCGTCAGGGAGACCGTGAGTGATGGGGGCAGGGCCGCCGCGGTGGCAACGTGGGCGGCGACACCAGCGCACAGGAGGCACGGGAACCACCGCCAGGGCTCGTCCGGCGCCTGTGGGGCGCTGCGCCGCCTCCTCCTCCCACCGCTCTCACGGCCCCAGCCACAGCTGCCCAAAGAAATGGTCGACAGGCACGGGGGGCTCAGAACACTGCACAGCAAATAGAAGTGTTAAACGTGCATATGGTTTAATTTCTGGAGTGATATGAAGACCACCAGCGCCCCGCACAACGCAGGGAGCCGCCGCAAGCCCGCCGCCCACCAGCGAGTCCACCCGTCGTCTGCTTCCCGTCCGCCCGAGCGGCCCTTACACTGTGCACACTGCTACAAGAGAAAAAAAGAAGGGACAGCTGCGTCGCCAACAAGCAGGGGCCGTGTGTCATTGGCGTTGTCCCGCCCACTGGGCGCATCGGCGGCGGGGCGAGCGTCACGTCACGCAGTCTCCACACACTGGGAGCCACACCACCGGCACTGACGGCAGCCGCACCGTGGGATGCTCCGCTCACAAGTAAATCACACGAACACACAAGAATACATTCCCAGCGGCTCCCAACCGCAAGCACCCACCACGAGGTGAGGGCTCTGGAGTGGGAAGGCCAAAGCAACGCACACAAACAAAAAACACGCTGAATCCCCTCCATCTCCCAATCGCAAAATTAACAGAATAAAACGTATCAAAAACACAGACTCACATACATCGTTCATTGAAGGCCCAGCACACACACGCACATCCTCATCACGTGCCCCCAGCAGAAGCACACACGCAGCACAACGCAACGGGCGCCCACTGGCTCCACAACCACCTCCCGCACGCGGGTCGAGGGCAGGGAGTGACACGCTCCACGGGGGCACGGGGTAGTCAATGACACATTCCACGCTGTTCGGCCACGGAGCAAATAGCGCACCTTCAGAGTCACAACAAATTATCTAACAAGAAATCCATAAATAAAGAAAATAAGCTATTTCGTTTACTCGCTAATTGTAAAATTGGCAGAAAATACTTGTCTGGGCTGCTCGCCAGATCCTAAACGTATGTAAAGTAAAGTAATAATGGTGGAAAAGAAAGAAGGTAAAAGGAGAAGCAGTGGGTTTCGCCCAAATGCCTGCTTCAAGTAAATATATACATATACATATATCCATTTTCGAATTGTCGCTCACGTAACATGTGGCACATTGTTGGGATTGTAAATATTACGACTTATAAGGCGGTAGGATTTTGAGGATCCTCCAGCCACAAGACCCCACCGCGAGGCGAGCATCGCAAGAGGGTGTGGGTGGAACGGAAAGTGAAAAATAAAAAGTAAAGAAAATACTCGTCTTCCCGACATCGGCTCCCTGATTACTTCCATCGTCGGCTTTCACAAAATAATTAACAACACAGGTAAAAAAAAAAATCGTAGAGAAAAAAAAAATATCCTCGTTTTTATCAAGAAATATATTAATTTCGGCGGCCGGCATTCTTCTTCATCACTCGTTTCACCGACACCAAAAAAAAAAAAAAAAAAAAAAAAACGTATCAAAAACACAGACTCACATACATCGTTCATTGACGGCCCAGCACACACACGCACATCCTCATCACG